TTAGTCATTTTAGCGAACACCTCAGATACTGTTGGCTGGTTCCTGTTGGTTGTGCGTCTTTTTTACCGACGCCATTATAACAACACAGATCACTGCCTATTCACGAGTCCCGCAGAAAAAGTGATTGACAGGTGGTAATTATGTGTGTATCTTGCCTTTATTCACTTACTGTATGATTTGTTTATGGGTAAAACAAAGACCATGCAGGTCAGGTAGTTTAAACGGTAGGCTACAAATAATTAATTGGTCATTAATTATTCATAATCGAAAATCGAATCGAATCATGCCTTTAGAATCGAAAATGTAATCGAATCGAGGATTTGGAGGATCGTGACACCCTTACAAAGTACACATCTAAACACTGTCATCACAGATAACCTGATATATTCAGGGTGTGTATTCAGAACTCTTTCAGTAAAGTGTTGTGTACGGTTTTTGCTGGAGATGTAAATGGTTTGTTTTTCACGCTCAGGAGGGGATCGTGGAGCGATTGTTTAAGTGGGCTCGAGAGGCCGATCAGCCGCTCAGGATTTACGCCACAGGTCTGCTGGCCGGAGCCATGGAGAACCAGGACATCGCAGCAAACTACAGAGAGGAGAACTCGGTACTGGTGAGTCGTGCGCTAGATTCAGCAGCTCTCACATATGCATGAGAGCCATCACTGCTGTCTGTCACATTATTGATTGCAAGGCCTTGACAGCATACAGTCATGCTTTAATATGGAGTATTGTGTGTGTGTGTGTGTGTGTGTGTGTGTGTGGTGGATTTCTGTGTGAACTACCCCTTTAATGCTGACTTTACCATGCCTCATGTCGCCGCAGGTCCCTCTGATGCTGCAGAGGCTGCGGGAGCTCCAGGATAAAGACACTGAGAGCCGGAAGGACAGTAAACGGCTGAGCAGGAGCCCGGCTCCTCTGCTGCCGCTGGATGAGGAGGCTGTGGACGGAGAGTTCACTGCGAGCGCTCCTGTGGAGAAGCAGGACTGTGAAGCGGAGCTGCAGCCGCTTAGGTGCGCAGGCCGGGGCGCTGTGGGGCTCAAGGGTCTGATGAAGCCGGCCGCAGCCCCGCTGGAGGAGCCCGAGGGCCCCGCGGACACTCTGAGAAGCTGGAGGAAGAGGGAGAGCGCTGGGAAGCTGAAGCAGAAGCTGAACTTCTCCATGCCGGAGCCGGAGCGCAGCCTGAGCGAGCTCTCCAACAGCAGCTGGACGGAGATGAGCCCCTGGGTGATCGGGAACAACTACAGCCTGGAGCCGCTCACGCCGGGCACAGAGCAGCGGCTCATCCTGATGTACCTCACACCGCTGGGGGAATACCAGGAGGTACACACACACACACACACACACACACACACACACACACAAACACACACCACACACACACACTTACTCACTGCGCTGTGTGTTTAAACTCTGATGGTTTTCCTCATTTCATTCTCAAAGTAATGGATTATGAAAATGTGTGTGTTTGTGTGTGTGTTTTTGTGTGTTTTTTTGGTTTGTGTTTGGTTTGTGTGTATGTGTGTGTGTTTGTGCGTGTGTTTGTGCGTGTGTTTGTTTGTGCGTGTCTTTGTTTGTTTGTGTGTGTGTTTGTTTGTTTGTTTGTGCGTGTTTGTTTGTTTGTGCGTGTGTTTGTGTGTTTGTGCGTGTGTTTGTTTGTTTGTGCGTTTGTTTGTGCGTGTGTTTGTGCGTGTGTTTGTGCGTGTGTTTGTGTTTGTGTTTGTGTGTGTTTGTGTGTGTGTGTTTGTGTGTGTTTGTTTGTTTGTGTGTGTGTGTTTGTTTGTGTGTGTATTTGTTTGTGTTTGTGTGTTTGTGTTTGTTTGTTTGTATGTGTGTTTGTGTGTGTGTGTTTGTTTGTTTGTTTGTGTGTGTGTTTGTGTGTGTGTGTGTTTGTTTGTTTGTGTGTGTGTG